TCTTTTGCCTATCATATATGTTAGAAACTTTCTTTCTCTTTCTGTAATTTCTAATATTGTAATTTTTTTTTTCTGCCTAGCTGAGCAGATTTTCCAATTTTCAACCTTTAGTCTTGAGTTCATTCACATTGTGACATGCTAGTTTTACTTTTTTTTTTTTCTTTCTATCATTCTTTTAGTGACCTATGTTTTGTTTCTATAATTTTAAGTTTTTTTTCTTTCTATTATGTAATTCTTCTTTTTGACAAGGAATTTCTACTTCTCTTTTTTTCTTAAACACCTTTTTTTTAATTTACAAGAACTTTTCAATTTTCTTGCCTATATTCATTAGTTTAACTGTAGCACCCTTAGGAGTGATCAGCTAGGCCTCTTCTTGTACCTAGTTGCATTTCTTTTATTTTGTCTAGTCTATCCAAAATTTGACACAAGATATCTTCTACTTGTACAGTTCTTGCTTAATCTTGCAGAACTGCTTTAGTTTTCAATTTCTTTAGGTCATTTTCTTTTACTTCTATATTGGTATTTCTGTTTTCTAACCATTCTTTTATATTTTGTATCTGGAGGTTTAAACCTATCTTATTATATCTTTTACTTGGCTTTTCTTGCATTATGTCTCTGATTTTTGACACCTCTTGTCATTTGCTATCTACTTTGAATCTTTTTTGTTTTTTTTCTCTTGATTTATCTTTTCTTTTTCTAGGATTTTTCCAACTTACTCAGTAATTATTATACCATATTGGTGTTGTTTGAGCTTCTTCTGCTGCTACAGTATTTGCAAAAGTAATTATTGCAAACTTCTTTTGATTTCCATTTCTGTTGTATGGGATGTATACTGCTTTTGTGCCTTTGTTTTTTAGGCATTGTAAAAAAAGCACTTCTGAGACTCCTCTTGGAATGTTTAACAATTTAGCTGTGTATTGTTCTTGTTTGTCACTTTGGCTATAGTCTTTATTCCCAATTGTTATATATGCTAGTTTGTTGTTGCCAAGTGGCAGTACCTATGAGATATTTTCTTCTTTCTCTAAGCTTGCTACTATTACTGCCAATGTCTTGTATGGTAATCTCTTGACTTGTATAATGTTCATGTTTTTGAACTTTCTGCACATATATTTGATTTTTTTTCATTAATATTTGGTGATAGATCCTATATAGTTAATTATTTTTCTTCTTGCAATTCCTCTTTTTTGTCTTTGTCATTTTCTATTATAATGCTTTTCTTTGTAATATTTTTTTCTTTTTTTTCTTTTTCTTGTTTTTTAATTTTTTTTGTTCTTCTTGGTTCTTCATCCTTTTTTGTTTGTTTGATATTTTTTTTTTAGTATTATGTTTCTTTTGCTGTTCTGCTTCTTAACTTTTATTCTTATTTTCTTTTGGAATAAGTTTAAACTATTCACCTTCTTTTTTCCTGATTCTGTCCCTTGCTGCATGTTTGCTATGCTTACAATCAAAATCCACTTCTATCTAATTGTTTTCATTTTTGATTATTTTTTGTAGTAGTTATTTCCTAGGATCTACTGAATATACTTTACTTTTTTTTTTAGATTCACCTAGTAAAATGTAAGTTGGCATATTTGACTTAAAGGATTTGTTCTTGTTGTATATTCTGTTTTTCAGAAACTATTAATTATACTCAATTGTACTTGCAAGAAATAAGATACTGGTTTCTTCATTAGTTAGTTCTTCTTTTTGTTCTTCTAATTTCATGTTTGTGTTTTCACTATTTTTTTTATTTTCTGCACTATGTTACTTTTTAGCATTTCAGATTTATTAGCTGTTTAACTTATTTAATAATGTAGTCTAATAATGCTAAGACCTTTCATTTGTTCTTCTAGTATTCTCAGTCCATGCTTATTATTTGTTTTTCTTTCTTTTTGATATGTTAGTTTTTTGTTTGTGTTTATATTTGTATTGTATTCAAAAGAGTCTAGATTGTGCTTATTGACTTAAGCTTTTCTGCCCACTCATTGATTATCTTTTCTTTGAGCCAGCCTGTTTTTGCTACTCTTAATGTTTCTAGTATTTGACTGTATACTAACATATTATAAGGTATAATATATCTTAGGTCATATATTGCTAATTTTTTAGCAATATATTCTATATTACTTGGGTTCTGTATAGAAGTTTTGAAAACTTGGTCCAAAATTCTACAGTCTATATGTCTTCAATTTCTATTCTCTATTCCTCTAATATAAAATATGATATCTGTATTGCAATTTTTGTTTAATAGTTTATATTCTAATGATTAGATTGAGATCTTCCTTTTTAGACTAATCAGTATCTAGAATTAAACTTTGTAATACTTGTTAGTATATTGTTAGTACTACATTACTGGTTCTATAATGATGCTTGCTATTTTCTAATTAGATACAAGACTTGTTTGTTTGTTGTTTTTTGTTGTTACTACAGTTATCATGTGTTTTGTTTTTTATTTTTTCAGAGTAATGCCAATTTTCCAAAAATTTTTATTTTTTTTGTTAAAAATATTGCTGTTTTTCATTAATATTTTAGTGCAGCTTTTTTTGTCTTCTAACCTCTATTATATTATATATATTTTCTTCTGTTATAGCTTTTTTGTTAATCATTCAAAGAGTGTTTGCTAGTCTGTTTTTCTGTTATTTTTATATTTTGTTTTTTCTTGTTTTGAAATTAAAGATTAGCAGGAAGAGTTCATGATTTCATTCATAAGAGAGCCTTTATTTTGAAGAATATAGTTCTTTAAAAATTTAAAAATATTTAAATCATCTCTCTCAATAATAATATTAATGGCCTTTTATACAATTCCAAAGATTTTAGCATAAATTTTTTTTTCAACATTGATTTTTAGCATTAGATGATGAAAAATGAATTGCAATAGACATTTTACTTGATGGAGAAAACAAATTTGCAGATTTATTTGAATGTAATATAGCAGTTAGAATTAATTTCTCAGATGATTCTGTTAAAACTATGAATAAATAAACAAAAGGCTATATACCAAGATCTTCATCTTGATATTTTTTAAGTAACCAACATTTTGACACAAAATTAATTAAAAATTTGGCAATAAAAGAATATAACATAATCCTAAAAAAATGTCTGCAAGAATATTTATAATTAATTAGTAGCATATAGCTGCATATAAAAGAACTATTTGAAAGCAAAAATATATAAAATCGAAATTGTTGTCAGGTCATATGTATTACTTTTCAAACTTCTATTACTTTGTTTTTAACTTGTTTAAAGAGTGCAAAAAAGTAGACCAATAGGTAGTCAAATGCATTGTTAATGAATGCTATATCATTATTTTGCATCTATAATAATGTAAAAATGAGAATGAAAAATTAATAATTACTTTGCTAACATATAGTTTACCTACAGACTTATTTTATTAATAGCTAGTTTGTTAACAATCTTTTTACTAACAATTATTTTTATTATTTAAGAGTGCTTAACTTGTTAGTAAACTGATTATTAATAAATTAAGCTTGTTAATAAATGTTATTTAAATAATAATTAGTAAGATAAATACTATCTATTAATATAGCAATATTGATTATTTACTTGATATAAATATAAAGATTCAGAGGTTATTTTGGTTGCATAATAAAATAAACTATGATTTATTTCATAATGAATTTTTTCAATTAGATTAGATACAATAAAAAACTTGAAAATAGCATTAATGTTCAGATATATAGTATTATAAATACTTAGTAGTTTAATATTTAGATTTGATGACTTCTAATTAATAAAATCATAATGATAGTCTTAACTAGCAATTAAAGTATTAAGTGAATTAAATAAATCATATAGAGTTGTATAGCTATGACATATAATAGATTTAATATGTAAATTAATTAACTTGATGTGGCTTATTGCTTGTGCATTAGCAGTAAAGTAACGAAATATATAAGCCTTTGCCTATGTTATTTTATCAGAATATAAAACCTTATTAAGATACTAAACTGTTTTTGGATAGCATTCTTGTAAAGCTTTAAACTAATTTTTAAAAATTTGTAAATCTAATATATTACAGGCTTTGTAGAAGTCTTTGATAAAAAATTCCCAATCTGAACCTAATTTGTCTTTAAGGTTTTTTTGTAGGTTTTGACTAATATGTCATATGCAATAAAGATGTTGGATCAAAGATAAAATAGTAAAAATAGCAAGAGTTATGGCTGGATCTGCATCTGTTAAAATAGTGCTTAGATAAAAACTATCAGTAGCTTTTATTAAAACTTTAAGTAATCAGAAATATAATCTTACTGTTTCATTATTCAATACAGTCTGTGCAATAAGATAAGATCTATAGGTATTATCTATAATGATAAAAAGTAAAAGTAGCATATTATAAACATTTGTCTTTGCTATATCATTATGAAAAACAATGTCACTATATTAAGACCAAAGGTCAAGTTGGTTTGGAGATATTCAAAAAAGATGTATTAAAGCATTTGTATATAGATCAAAATACTATTCAATAAATCATCTTGAATTCTTATCCTTTTTTTTAAGTAGTTTAGATAGCAATTGTAAAGCATTATTATTACCAAAAGAAACTATTTTTTTAGCTTATATAATTGCATTATATAAATTGCTACAATGAATTAGAACTTTATACTTTTCTGATAGAAGTTAATACTGTGCACTTACATTGATCTTTTCAGATATAGTATAAAACTTAATGTTTTTAATATCTTATTAGTAAGCTTTCAATTTTTAGAAATAAATTATATAATAATTGAATTAAGAGTATGATCAGTATGAATGCTAATAAAGGTAAATATATAATACCTATTTAAATATTTGCTCCAATATATATTAACTTTCTATTTATAATTAGTCTGACATAAACCAAATTCTTTAGTTTTATATAATTTATATTCATTTGACAATTTTCTAGCATGTCAATATAAAAATGTTCTTGAAACTTTATACCTACTTGCATTTTTTTCAATATGTCCTTTTTAAATGCTAAATTTATTTGATTAAATAAAGATTTAACTGTAACATAAGCTTTTTCAACTATTTAAAAATTTTGCCCTATAATATAATTCTGTAAAATTTATTATTTGATTTTTAAAAGTTACAAAACTATAAATACTTGGCTTTATAAAGTTCTAACTGCTTTTTAAATTCATTTGATTGTTTATCAGACTTATAATCTGCATACTCAATTTCAGCATTTAAAGTTATTAAACTTGCAAGTTGTTGTGATTCTTGATCAGAAACAAAATAATTAGAAAAAAAGTAGAATCAATGTTTTGTAACTCTATATAAAACTAGTTAAAATAGTTTTAATGCAAAATTCAAATTAAATAACAAAGTCAAAAAAAAAATATACTACTAAATTTTAAACACAAGACTGTATTTGCTATTCCTTTTTACAGAAAAATTATATTCAGAATAAATAAAAATGAATAACTAGTAGAAAAAAAGTAGACATCTGATACTTGTTCAGTAAGTTTTGCTTTATATACTCTTATATTTTATTAGTTTTAGTTTCTTTTATTCTTTATTAACACAAACACTTCTTTTGCAATAAAAAAAAATTGAGAAATACTTACTAAACCTTCAAGAAGAACCTGCATGCTAAAAAGTATTATTTGTAAGCCAAGAATATAGTCATCTAATATTTATTCATTTAGTAAAATAAGTTTCACTTCAAATGTCTTTAATAATTTTATTAGTTCTAATTTTCTTTGCTCTTTACTAACTTAAACTCTTTCTTTTCAACCAAAAAAAAATCAAAAAATACTAACTAATACTTCAAAAAGAATCTGTATACCAAGAAGTGTTGTTTGTTAAACCAAAGGCATAGTTACCTAATATTTATTCAATAAGGTAATTTTCACTTTATATGCTCTTGAAAATTTTTATTTGTTTTGGGTTCTGTTACTTTTTACTAACTTAAACTTTTTCTTTTTAATAAAAAACAATTGAAAAATACCAGCTAATACTTTTACAAATGATCTGCACAAAGGCTTTTGTATAGATTACTATGAACAAATAAAAGAGAAAAATAAGTGTATTTTAATCACAACCCATTACATTATCTAATTTGACAAACAATGTACTAATTGCTATTTAACTTTACTTCACATACTTTACATCGATCAAACTTGCATAATGCAATTATAATATTAGGTTATATATCCAAAATCTGTATCACAAAATTCTAGGTCATGTGTTTGAATATCACATGATTTTATTGTACTTAGTATACCCTACACAGTATGCACCCTGCATCAAATAAATTTATTCTTATAATAAAATATATAAGACTTAACAATTATAGATTTAGATTCATTGTATAGGTAAATAATTTAATGTAATTTAACTTTTACAATTAAATCTTTTATAAAATTATATATTCTATTAAAAAACTTGCTGTTTTTGAATTAGTGTGATAAGTGAATTTTGTGAATCCTATGAATTCTACATTTTAATAATAGTAATATGCAGGTTTACAAAATTTACTTATTGCACTAATTCAAAACAGCAATAATCGTAAAGAATTTTAAAGCTATAATAAATCACTTTGCTGAATCCAGTAGGGCAAGAACAACAAACAATTGTAAATTCCATTTTAGAAAACAAGAACAATGTATATAATAAGACCAAATCAAGATTAGAGCTTTTTTAATTAATAACTAGTTTAAAAATTTGTGCATGTTATAATTACTAAAAAATAAAATAACATTTCTATATAAAAAATTTTTTTGCACATGCCAAATTTTTAACAATGATAAAAAATTTGTGACAATACTGCTACTATCTTTTTAATCCTACAATGCTATTTTACTAATCTTAACAGTATGCATAATAATAAATAAAAAAAATAAAAATTTTCAAATTTTGATCAAATTCAAGAACTCAAGCTCTAAGAACTTTTTTAATTTTTCATAAAAATTTAGCTATTAGGATATGTAATTAAGGATTCAATTATTCAAATTAATATGTTAATTACAGGTCATCTCAATTTTTAATTTTTATTAGGTTATTAAAATATTAAACATTACTTTTTATTCATTAATCATATCATTTGTTTTGTAAATATAAGCATTAATTGCATTAATATATAAATATAAAAATTTTTTAAAGTTAAATAATACCCTTTTCTATCTCAGTTTTAGTTCAATTTTGGATTTGTGCCTAAAACTAAAGTTCTATCACTATGCAAAGCACTACTTATATATAAGCATCTCATGTAATGCAAACTTTATTATTAAACTACTCATGATAATTATTACAAAAATAAAAAGCTTATTTTTCAATAATTATTTTTATTATACATCATAAATGCTAGTTTAATAAATCAAATAACCTTTCTTGAACTTATCTGATTAAATCAATAAATTTCTTTCTTGCTTTTTAGATTAAATTAAATAAAACATATAATTTAGCAGAGCTTGGCATAATATAAAAACTTATTGTAAAAAAATAATATTACAGAAAAAAAAACTAATTAGAACTTATATGATTATAAAGCACCAAAAAAAAATTATAAAAATAACTTTCATATAATTAATTTTTTTTTTTTTTACCAAAAAAAAATGTCCAAGCTCAAGAAAATAACTCATGCTAATGCACAAAGACATGAACTTTGTGTTTATGCCTATGATAATAAAAAAACTTAATTTCAATATATTGACTAAGTTAAGAACAAGTGGAACCTTAAAGTTGATAAAAGCACAGTTTTGCATATTTTGAAAGCTAGTAAAAAACATATTGAAAATGAAAATATAATTCTAATGCCAAATGTTATAAGTCTGTTACTTACCCAGAACTTAATTTTGCTCTCAAAAGTTCATGCTGATTTATTAGCATCAAACAGAATTAAGCAACACTTTACTTATTAAAAAAGCAAAAATACTTGCTAATAGTATAGGAATTCCTTAAAAAGCATTAAACATTTCATTTAGCTGGTTTTACAAGTTCAAAAATCAAAATAGTATTCATCTATATCAACTTCAAAAAGAAGCCACATTTGCTAATATAGCAGCAATTAATAATGTTATATCATCATTAAAAAAATATATATATACAAATTATTCTTCTAAAAGAATTTATAACATGGATGAGACTAGTTTTTTTATCAGTATAATCTCTTATTTATAAAACTTTGTTCTTATCTTTTTTTTTATATTACAATATTATATTATTAAAATTTATTTTATTTATCTTAAAGTTGAAACCTGATAGAACATTAGCAACCCAATGTCTTTCTGAACATAAAATAAATAAAGAATATCTCTCAATTGCACTTTGTGCAAATACTAATGGTTTATATAAAATAAATTCTCTTGTAATTAGAAGATATCAGAAACCATGCTATTTCAAAAACATAAATCTTAATAATTTACCTATAAAATACAGAAACAGTACTAAAGCTTGAATGATTATATTCATTTTTCAAAAGTGAATTAGAAAATTTAATCATTAAGTTGGTCTTAGATATCAAGATCAACATGTGCTTTTACTTTTTGACAATTGCCCTAGGTACAATCTTAATAGTATTACTCTTAGATTTACTAATATTATTTTTTTTTTCTTAAATACAATTTTGAGAATTTAGCCTATAGATACTAGAATTAGTTTAAACTTCAAGAGACATTATCATTATCTTCATGTTTGGTAAGATTTTGGTGGTTTTTTTTTTTTTAAAAAAAAAGTGTTTTAGTATATACATACAAGAAAATAAAATTGAATATTATATTAATTACATTTTTTTTAAGTTAGATGCTACAGAAAGTTGAAAATAAACAGCATACAAAAGATTTAAAAATGAATATATTACAAGCTATTAATTTTATCATTCAAAGCTAAGATAAAGTTAATATTAATACAATTCAGAATTGTTAGTACTATACAAAACTTCTTGTTGCAAATATTTTACAAAGTCACTCAGAAGATTTTTGCCAAACTACAGAATCTGTACTCAATGATATTGCAAATGCACTTGAAGCTCTTAACTTTTTTTAGCCTATGCAAGTTAAGAAGTTTTTGGTAATTTCCAAAGAAAATATTATTTATAAAGTTTTTTCAGATGATCAAATTATTATGAAGTTTGTTAAAACATTCAGAACTAATAACCCAACAATTACTAACTTTAATGATATAGATGATAGCTTTGAAATTCTATTGTTAGTGCCAATATAATGAATGAAAGCTTAAAAACTGTATATACATTTTTGCTCTAGCAGAATAGTACCAAAAAACATATCAATATTCTAAGAAGAATTAAAAAATTTATTAAAAAAATGAAGGTGGACCAAATGCAACAAAGCAAAATCAATTAATTTTTTGTAAAAAACAATGAAAATTAAAGAAAAACTAATGATATATATAATGGAATAGATATAATAAAAAATTGAATATTTCTACTAATCAAAAAGCATTTAAATATAAAGTTAGGCATAAAGGAAAAGCCAGGATTGAAGCTTAACCAAATGAGTTTTATATAATATATATAAGTATGATAAACTGTTTTATGTAATATTCAAACAAATAAAAATATGTTTTTTTTTGCTTGTTTATGAAAAAAAATAGATTTTTTATGTATAACTAATAATACTTAACATTTAGCTTTTATATTTGAAAACCTTTTTGGTGGCAAAAACATTATTATTGACCCACTTATTATATTTTTATTGACCTATTTTAAAAAAAAATTTTTTACATTGGTTTTGACCCATGATGTACATGTTCGTGTAACATATACAATTATTATAATACGTGTAACAAATATAATACTATTTATGTAATGTGAAATGCTGTGTAATGAAGCATGATTCGTGTAATATGCCATGACCTATGTAAAAGTATGCTTGTGTCCCCCACATTAACTTAAGCGATTTTTAAAATTTTTAAAATTCTGTTGAAAATTTAAGTTTTTTGACCTTCAATATGAAAATTTTAGTTAATATACTTGCGTCCTCCGCATTAACTTGAGCGATTTTCAAAATTTTTAAAATTCTGTTGAAAATTTAAGTTTTTTGACCTTCAATATAAAAATTTTTTTGCATCCCTTGCATTAACTTGAGCGATTTTTAAAATTTTTAAAATTCTGTCGAAAATTTAAGTTTTTTGATCTTCAATACGAAAATTTTAGTTAATATACTTGCTTCTTAATTTTCCTAAAAGTAGGTTCAGAAAATTACTATACTTTTATGATATTTTACGAAATTTGGTTAATTTTCTGAAATCAAATTTTCATCATGTGTTAACTCTGGCCAAACTTTTCAAATATATAAACTCTGAACTAGAGATGTTATTTTGTTTAACTAGTTTGTGCTTTGAAACCTATTTGAACACTGTTTAAAAACACGTGGATAAATGGAGTTTTAAACTGTTTATACAAATTTACTAATAGCCATGCTTTCTTGAACGTGTTAGTTTAAAACCTGCTATTGCTATTAAAACATCTGATGTTTATATTTATTAATATTACATTGCCATTTAATAAATACATGATTATAGTTATGAAAAAAGAAGCAAATCATATCATAATAATTAACTTTTAAATATCTGGAAAATGTGTACCAGGTTGGTGCTCCATCGTAGCTAGAGATCAATTATTTATATATTT